TATTTTTCGTTAAAATTTGGCACATAAATAGAAAATGCATGTAAAAAACTGCCTGAATAACAAAAAAAGCGGACACGACATGCCTTCGACTACAAATTCATGTAAAAACATCATTTAAATATTCAAGAGCAAAACAATCTGTTAAAAAGTCTAGTAACCATACAAAAAAGTTTTTAAAAAGTAAAGATAAGCTTCTCTTCTTTCCAAAAAGTATCTATGTGTATACACGTTTCTAAAAAGAAACTCCACAAAACTACGTTTACCCCACACTGCCTAAAAAGAAGTGAAAAAAACGAGTCACAAAATTTTAGCACAAAAATCGGTTTCGTAAATCACGATATGCGCGTACCTATATATATATATATATATATATATATATATATATATATATATATATATATATATATATATATATATATATATATATATATATATATATATATATATATATATATATATATAGTATATATATATATATATATATATATATATATAAATATATATATATATATATATATATATATATATATATATATATATATATATATATAATATATATATATATATATATATATATATATATATATATATATATATATATATATATATATATATATATATATATATATATATATATATATATATATATATATATATATATATATATATATATATATATATATATATATATATATGGGAATACTATTATTAACAGTTAATATATTGTTTACTGGTAATAGTGTATTTAATTAATACCTCCTCAATCTAATCCATGTCCAGTTTTTTCAAAGTATGTCAGAAATAGCAGCATCTTCTTAAGGTAGTTAACTTATTTTTGAAACTATAACTTTAAAGTAACATCAACTACTTTAAGTTTACAATTATAAAAATAACGTCCAGATAAAGTAATTAAATTCAATTTCAGATAAAGTAATTCAAAACAACATTACTTCTGCTTCAACATTAACTATACTATTAAGATTATTTTGTTTCATTTTTAATAAATAAATCTAAACAGGTCAGGTAGTATATAGTTTCTTGTAAAACCAAGTCAAAGCTTCATCGCTTATTTACGATGTTTTGCCAGTATTCAATATGGCTTCCGCCGAAAAAATTTGCCTCATACTATATCAAGGAATTTTTACGGAGTTAGATATCTATGTATATATATATATATATCATTGATTTCTTATAACTATAATATCAATAAAATATATAATTATTCCACTATTGCAATTTTTAATCTCTAAAAGAGAGGGTATAGCCTGAAAAACTTATTATCTTTTTATTATCTTTTAAATCTCATTTGTTATTAAAAAACTTATTATCTTATTTAAAACTCTTATTATAAAAACTTTTTTATTGTTATATTATTTATTTATTTTTTATTTTTATTTATTTATTTATTTGAATTTTCATGCTATATTTTCTATACAATCTTCCCATATTTGAAGATATTGTTGGCTTAGCATAGGAACAGTCACAAATAATCATTAAAACTAATCCAAAGTAGTGTCCGTTATTGACCAACATTTTTGTACAGAAGTACTACTCAAGCGCTGAGTTGGCGGTGGCAGGATTTGAACTCGTATCGTACAACAGTCCGAGTTTTAACTTTTCGAACCAGCTGAGCTATCCTGCCATCAAAATAAAATTTTTTTAAATTTTTTTTATAGATAAAAATTAGCGACTTAAAATTAAAGTTGGCATATTTGTTTGAAAAAAATTTTATTTAACAAGTAGCATCTTATTTGAGCAGCCGTGGCGCAGTGGTAGCGCACTTGCCTCAGAAACAAAGGATCCTTGGTTCAAACCCCATCTCTGGGCAAGCTTTACGACATCGGTTAGGAAGGAGGCGTGAACTTCCATTTAAATGCGCATCCGCAGTATAAAAACGTATATAAACCTAAAATTGCAATTTTTAAATCTTTTTAAAGCGATTTTAATTCTTCCTTCTTTCTCAAAAATAATAGAAAAAATTATGTACAATAGGGGTTATTTTTCTTCTTAATATAAATAATATCCTTTAAATCAGAATACTCCACTGGCTATTATATACTTTATTCATGACATATTTATGGTATTCGATGAAACAAAATTTACAGAAGGAGTTTTCAGAGATTCCAGCAAAATTCGAGACAGTTAAGAGTTTTCATAAATCTTAGCAAAAGTTGATTATAACATTCTTCTAACTAACTTTTCAGCTTCTTCTAGCTAAAACAGTGACATAATAAACTAAAACATTGCTTTGGTTTAAAATTTATTTAACAAATAAAAAACAATATATATCGAATGACGAAGGAAAATCCAAATATACATCAAATACCAAAATCTTGGCGAGAACACCTAAGTAGGATGGAGCCTGACCAATTGAGCAATTTTTACCGAATCTAAAAGATCTCATTTACTGTGTGTCGGATTTACATAATTTTTCAATATTTGAAAGATAAAAAAAAAAAGTAAAATTTTTATTTTTTTGAGAAGATATTGCCTAAAGTTTGCGGAGCTGCTCAACCTGCCCCAGAATTTTTTTTTTAAGCGGGGTAAGTTGAGCAATAGTGTAGGGTAAGTTGAGCAATTAACAAATATACGAATATACAAGGCATGAAACTTGGATGAATTATCAATAAAACCTGGGTGAATTATCAATAGTAGTACGAAACTTGGGTACGAAACATAGTACAAAACTTGGGTGAATTATCAATAAAACTTGGGTGAATTGTCAATAATAGTGCGAAACTTGGGTACGAAACATGGTCGAAACTTGGGTGAATTATCAATAAAACTTGGGTGAATTATCAATAGTAGTACGAAACTTGGGTACGAAACATGGTACGAAACCTTGGTGAATTATCAATAAAACTTTCATTAACACTAAACGTGTGTGTAATTTATCAACTTTCTATTTTATACACTTTAATGATGTAAGTAAGAGAAGAGGAAATATTAAATAGTAAGAAAGTGTAATAATATAAAAATACTACTTTATACGACTATCTTGAACCTTGAAGCGTAGTTTAAAAATTAATAATTAAAAAAAATATATATAAATAATGTACCGCTGAATTATTTCTCATCAAAGTTGTTTCTTTGTGTTCAATAGTTCAGTTTTATTTCTTTTTTTCAAAGCTGCTCAACTTACTAAACAAGGTGACACATTAGTTAGGTTTAAAGAGAACAACAAGATTTAGGAAAAACAGTTAATTTTAATCAAAAGTTCAATAAATAGTAAAAATATCAACTCTTAAGTAATAGCAGATAAAAAAGTTTATATCGAAGAGAAAAATACAAAAAAAATTATTTTTTACTTTTTTGGTTCAAAATAGAAAAAGTGCCCGTGTATCTTACTCAACTTCTTTTCATGAATCTTTTATTGTGCATTGTGTTAACATTCTAATTCCCTAACTTTCATCCATTAGATGTTCTGTCATGAGATGCGTAGTTTTTGAGATATTTTAATTGTCCGACTTGCTCCTATGCTCAACTAGCCCTGCTCCTCCTTATAATAGAAAATAAAGT